ACCTGAGAACTTTGATGCAGCTAGGTCAACAAGCTTGTCTGGCTTGTACAATGGAATCCTTAGGAATCGATATTAGCTGCGTGTCGGAAGCTCGGATCCAGGATCCTACTACTCTAAGCCACTTGAGCGCGCCAGATTTGTCGACCAGCTGCGTTCTTCGCACATCAGGCGACGATGAAGCTCGTTCAGTAGGTCAACGCGTGGTAGGTATTGTATTGATTAATAGGGCGGAGTCCTCTCGTATCGATTGGATCCTCGTCAACAGTCGTTTATGTGCAGTGCTTCTCCAGGGTTCAATCAGCGTCCGGAAGGGAGGCACCACTAAAAGGTGTTTGTTTATCCTATCAACATACGCACCGACCAATTGCAGTTCTGATACCCAAAACGACGCTTTCTACAATGAACTCACCGATCTCATTCGGATGAGTCGAAGCTCCGACATAGTGTACTTGCAGATGACTTTACCGCTCAATTTGGAAAACTGAGCGCATCAGAAGCTTGCTTAGGCTGTAGTTGTGCTCTGCCCAGCCAACGGACAGATAACGGCGATCGACTTCTTCAGTTCTGCGCAGACCGTCATCTGTTCCTATCAAGCACAAGCTTCCGACGCAGCTCTCGACGGACGACATCGTGGCGCTCCATTTCAACTGGTACGCTAATTCAAACCGACCACATCGCAGTAAGTTACCGTTTTCGTGGCTCAGTGCAAAATTGCAGGTCCTATTGGACCACCAGTGTTGAGTCTGACCACGCATTGGTTGTGATGCAGTTCACTCTCCGACTGACTGGTCGGCGACAACCAGCAAGCTCGGATAGCTCATCATCGACTATCTGCTCCAGCGGTTCATGCACTCTATGAATCAGAACTAGTGCTTAAGCTAAATGCGCTTCAGCGTGGTGATGTAGATGGGCAGTGGGATCAGATTAGGCGAGCAATGCATTCCGCAGCGAATGTTGCTTATGGGTCTGAGCCTCAAACCCGTCGGAGGGATTGGATATCTCAGGAGTCAGTAGTTTTGATGGAGATAAAACGACAAATCCCGACCTGCCAGGATCAGAATAGACTTAGGTGGCAGCTACAACGCCAGCTCACTAAGAACCTCAAGAAGGACCGTGAAAACTGGTGGGCAACAATAGCTAGTGAAATGGAAGTGGCGACTGCATCAGAGAATAGTCAAAGAATGTTCCGACCGATACGCAACACGGGAGGTCGGCGAACTCCAGTTAGTGAAACAGTCTATGATAAAATGAGACAAGCTATTCACAATGGGGGTCAACGACTCGATCGCTGAACAGAATAATTCAGCGAACAATTCTGCTGGCCTAGTGCTAACCAGGCTGCTTCATCTTCAACTTAAGCTTCGTGGGCAGTGTCATGCGATCCTCCAGTAGAAGCAGAAGTTCAGTCTTACATTCAAGCTCTGAAGCGAGGAAAAATAGCAGGACCCGATGAGCTCCCTCC